CTATTGAAAAAGCCTATTGTTGAATCATTTTCAAGAGATTTTAAAAAAGTGCGATGCTGGAGCTGACATCCGTGTAGCACCTCTATTTTTGTAATGTTAATATAACATGTATTATATGTATTAATATAATATGTATAAATATGTATTTTAATAGAGACAGAGTATAGAAAGACATGGCATGAAGTGGGCTGAAGGCCCGAGGCGAAGAGCCTCAAAGAAATGATTTTGAGGATACTAATAGGGAATGGTTGTTACAGACATGACAGTTGACCGGGGACAAGCGCGATGGACCGGATTAAGCAGGCTAGGGTGCGGAATACACGCTATCGGGCCCAACCCCTACGGACAACGGAGGTCCGGCTAACAGATACCGAAGTAACAGCGGACTGCTGTGACGCAAGAGCTTAAAGGGCCGCGAAGCGGCTTCCGACCTTCGACAGACTTTGGTCGCGGACACAAAGCATTGACAAACATGAGTACAAGACTTTGAACAACATGAGCATATGTGAATGGCCTGGACTAAGCAGTTGCTTGTGTCGCAGAACCAGAACACGGGAAAAGGAGCCAGATTATGAAAATTCACGATCACCCCTAGCCGAGTCGACCGCAACGAATCACTGGGCATCAGCACCGACCGAGGTCGGAAGTCCCCGAAGGGACTTGAATTTACGCTTCAACCTTCGTCACTGCCCGCCGCAAAGCCGAAGCTAGGGCAGGTTAGACGTAAGGAACCACGTTCGATCTCCGAAGACGAACCACGTTAACCCTAGATCAGCGCGCAAAGTGTTTCCTGCAGAGGGTGATTAGAAGTTACCGGGATTTGAGGTCCCATACGCCAAGTGGAGTAGCACAAGCGAACGCAGATTGACGTGACCGCTCCCCTAGAGAGCGCAGAAAGGGATGCCGACGCCAACCCATGACTCCCCACCGCTCAAACCGTCTTGGCATATTTGCTGCGAAGTTTACTACGATACCAAAGTGATATCACGAAGAAGGTATAGCCCAGCGGAAGAAATTGGGAAAATATGTAACACAAAGAAAGAGAGAGA